CAGTGTTGCATGAAACTGCAATTGTCATTCAAAGTTAAAGCGCTGAAAGCTGAAATATTGCCCTGGACAAAGAAGGGGGTAAAAAGGTCGCGGACAGGAAGTGGTTAATGGTTAACAATACAAACCAACATGTTTCAGGGGACCAAAGCCAGCCAATTCATCAGGGTAACATGAGTAGTTTTGTTGGCAATGCACTAAAACCGTGCACAATTGGCCACTGTATAGCACTGGCAGAGATGTAATCATAGAGGGCCATATCGATTGCTAGAGCTAAGTATCTTGAGTCCTGTAAAGCTCAGACTACATCTTAAGCCCTGATGAAGGGGGACGTTTTTTGCCACCAAAGTGTGTTGGGTTGGGTATATTGTGAACAACTGAAGCGTTGGGACTCCTGCCATTTTGGCCAGTACTTCTTCTGCTTTGAGGTCATTTTTTGCTGCTTGTGGACCATTGGGAAATGTTCCTGTCAGGGCTCCCAGGTGTGACCAGAGGTGTGTGGCTGACGCAGGGAAACGCAGACCTCAGATATGTTATAAACAATATAATTTATTAACACTAACAATACAAACATAAATGCAGTGCAATACTAAAACATAATACAGTGCAAACCAAACCAAACCAAACCAACCACCCACAGATAACAGTACATACAAGCAAGCGTCGTCAGGCAGGCCGGGTCAATATCAATAGGGCAGGTAGGTACAGGGGGACGCAAGCGGAGATTGGTCGGGGTCACAGGCCAGGTTCAGCAGGTAGCAAGCAGCGTAGTACAGAGGGTCAGGCAGAGGGATGGTCAGGGTAACAAGCCAGGGATCAGAAACAAGTAGCAAGCAGCGTGGTAAGAGGGTCAGGCAGAGGGATGGTCAGGAGCGAGCCGGGATCAGAGCAGGAGAAGTCAGCAGCGGTTCAGAAACAGGATGCAGGACAGAAACAGGATACAGGGCCCAGGACAAACACAACACCCAAGGCAGAGTCTGTGGGTCTGGCCATCCCCTTAAATACCCCAGCATAATCAGTTCCAGGTGTTAGCTGGCTGCAAAGTTGAGTCTCTGATTGCTGGGGAGCATCCGCTGGCCAGCCCTGGTACTGCAGATCAAATGGCAGGTGAGTCCCACCATTGCTGGCCAGTCCATTCTGACAGTACCCCCCCCCTCAAGGAGCGGCCTCAGGACGCTCCAAACAGTCCTAGCTGGGAAAAAATGTTCCACCCCCGGGTCTGGTAACTGGCGGGATATCAAAGACTGGCACAAACGGGCAGGACTCCGGGAAGCGGTACACCGGGCAGAGGCACATCGGGCTGGACTCCGGGCAGAGGCACACCGGGCAGAGGCACACCGGGCTGGACTCCGGGCAGAGGCACACCGGGCTGGACTCCGGGCAGAGGCACAGCGGGCTGGACTCCGGGCAGAGGCACAGCGGGCTGGACTCCGGGCAGAGGCACAGCGGGCTGGACTCCGGGCAGAGGCACAGCGGGCTGGACTCCGGGCAGAGGCACAGCGGGCTGGACTCCGGGCAGAGGCACAGCGGGCTGGACTCCGGGCAGAGGCACAGCGGGCTGGACTCCGGGCAGAGGCACATCGGGCTGGACTCCGGGCAGAGGCACATCGGGCTGGACTCCGGGCAGAGGCACATCGGGCAGGACTCCGGGCAGAGGCACATCGGGCTACCAGGCGGAGCGGCAGGCAGCGGGCCCCGGGCGGGGCGGCAGGCAGCAGGCCCCGGGCGGGGCGGCGGGCACCGGGCCCCCGGGCGGGCGCCGGACCCCCAGGCGGGGCCTCGGGTCCCCAGGCGGGGCGACGGGCCTCGGGCCCCCAGGCGGGGCGACAAGCCTCGGGCCCCCAGGCGGGGCGACGGGCCTCGGGCCCCCAGGCGGAGCGGCGGGCGCCGGACCCCCAGAAGGGGCGACGGGCCTCGGGCCCCCAGGCGGGGCGACAGGCCTCGGGCCCCCAGGCGGGGCGGCGGGCGCTGGACCCCCAGGCGGGGCTACAGGTCTCGGGCCCTCAGGCGGAGCAGCGGGCGCCGGACCCCCAGGTGGTGCGACAGGCCTCGGGCCCCCAGGCGGGGCGACAGGCCTCGGGCCCCAGGCGGGGCGACAGGCATCGGGCCCCCCAGGCGGGGCGACAGGCATCGGGCCCCCAGGCGGGGCGACAGGCATCGGGCCCTCAGGCGGAGCGGCGGGCGCCGGACCCCCAGGCGGGGCGACGGGCCTCGGGCCCCCAGGCGGGGCGACGGGCCTCGGGCCCCCAGGCGGGGCGACAGGCCACCAGGCGGGGCGACGGGCCTCGGGCCCCCAGGCGGGGCGACGGGCCTCGGGCCCCCAGGCGGAGCGGCGGGCGCCGGGCCCCCAGGCGGAGCGGCGGGCGCCGGGCCCCCAGGCGGAGCGGCGGGCGCCGGGCCCCCAGGCGGAGCGGCGGGCCTCGGGCCCCCAGGCGAGGTGACAGGCCTCGGGCCCCCAGGCGGAGCGGCGGGGCGCCGGACCCCCAGGCGGGGCTACAGGTCTCGGGCCCTCAGGCGGAGCGGTGGGCGCCGGACCCCCAGGCGGAGCGACAGGTCTCGGGCCCTCAGGCGGAGCGGCGGGCGCCGGACCCCCAGATGGAGCGACAGGTCTCGGGCCCTCAGGCGAAGCGGCGGGCACCGAGTCACCAGGCACGACAGTGGGCACCGAGTTGTCTGGCAAGACTGCGGGCACCGAGTCGTCTGGCAAGACTGCGGGCACCGGGTCACCAGGTATGACAGCGGGCTCTGAGTCAATTGGCACAACAGCGGGCACTGGGTCAGGTACCGGATCATCTGGATCAACAGCGGGCATCGAGTCAACTGGCCTAATAGGATCGTCGGGCTGGATCAGTTCATCAGGCTGAGTAGCGGCATCCGGCTGAAGAGAGGCTTCCGGCTGAAGAGAGGCATCCGGCTGAGTAGAGGCTTCAGGCTGCGTACAGGCATCAGTCTGAACCACGGAAGGCAGGCTCACCGGTTTGGATACTGGCAGGATGGTATTGGTTGGAAAGAATTTTCGCTTTTTTTCTGGTTTTAACTACTGGAGCACTGCAAGTAAACGCAGGTCTGCAAACAAATGGAGCAGCTGGAGACAGAGAAAAACTGGAGGATGGAACAGGAGAGGGAGCAGTTGCTACAGAGGGCTTTTTTTACAGGGTTAAAGGCAGGATAGGTGCAGCGAGTGGGAACAGGGTACTGACATGCGGTAGATAGCCAAGTATACTGGGCTGTAACTGGAGGAGCTGGTGGGAATACAGGAGTAGAGTTAGAAGCAGGACTGGGTTTTTGTAAGCTGACTGAGGCTGGGTGCAACAAGTCTGTCCATGTCTGCAGTAGGGGTTGAACAAAGCTGAGCTTACACAAAGCCTGTCTGACCAAAGACTGCACTGCGTTTATAACAATCTCTTAGTGTCTGTGGTGAACATGTGGAATAACGCTCCAGAAAGTAACCCACATCATCCTCTAATAACCACACCAGGGACTCTACCTGGTCTGCACTAAATGGGTGGCAAAAATTCATCCCTGCATTCGGGGGTACCAGATGAAACCAACTCAGCACAAACCTGAATCAATGGCTGCACCTCAGAGAACGCTGTGCCCTGATCTACTAGAACATGAGCAAGCCATATACATTCTAGCAGTTCATCCCGGGGATACTCCTTCAGAGTTTGATAAGCATACTCCCTGTCATCAAACACTAGCAGATATAAATACACAACCTCATCAAGATCCATCCTTCCCATCAACAAGCCAAGATGGCTTCCCTGTGCAGCCACTTCTGGTCAGGATTGGCCTTGATGTAATGTCAGGGCTCCCAGGTGTGACCAGAGGTGTGTGGCTGACGCAGGGAAACGCAGACTTCAGATATGTTATAAACAATGTAATTTATTAACACTAACAATACAAACAAATGCAGTGCAATACTAAAACATAATACAGTGCAAACAAACCAAACCAACCACCCACAGATAACAGTACATACAAGCAAGCGTCGTCAGGCAGGCCGGGTCAATATCAATAGGGCAGGTAGGTACAGGGGGGAGCAAGCGGAGATTGGTCGGGGTCACAGGCCAGGTTCAGCAGGTAGCAAGCAGCGTAGTACAGAGGGTCAGGCAGAGGGATGGTCAGGGTCACAAGCCAGGGATCAGAACAAGTAGCAAGCAGCGTGGTACAGAGGGTCAGGCAGAGGGATGGTCAGGAGCGAGCCGGGATCAGAGCAGAAGTCAGCAGCGGTTCAGAAACAGGATGCAGGACAGAAACAGGATACAGGGCCCAGGACAAACACAACACCAAGGCAGAGTCTGTGGGTCTGGCCATCCCTTAAATACCCCAGCATAACCAGTTCCAGGTGTTAGCTGGCTGCAAAGTTGAGTCTCTGATTGCTGGGAGCATCCGCTGGCCAGCCTGGTACTGCAGATCAAAAGGCAGGTGAGTCCCACCATTGCTGGCCAGTCCATTCCTGACAGTTCCCTTCCATCATTGTCCCAGAAATGAAGAAATTAGTGGAAATCACCCAAAGTGAGGGAATTTGCTGCTTAGCTAGTTGTCCCAGGAACAGGTGGCCCCATTGGAAGATCTCCCTTAACTTCTAGATCTGGAGACAATCTGGATTTCCCTCAATTTATTCCCTCAGTGTTATTGTTCAGCAGGTCAGATAGTGGGATGAATCTCCTCAATGGGGGCACAGATCGCAAAAATATAAGCTGGTCAAGTTTTAACTCTTTCCCCACTCTTTTCCATAGAGATACATTTTACCTGGCTTCCTGGCAAGTAATGAGGCTTGTCTGGAGAACTTCTGCTTCCTTCAACACTGACATTATGTAAAGGCCTAAGCACTTAGTCATATGAGGTCTGTTGAACAGGAGGGTCAGAGCGTGATTGGCTCCTTCTCCATTTCAGCAATGATTATATCATGTGACCCTGCATTCACTATATCTGCTCTCCCCGGACCCTGCATTCACTATATCCGCTATCCCCGGACCCTGCATTCACTATATCTGGTCTCCCCGGACCCTGCATTCACTATATCTGCTCTCCCCGGACCCTGCATTCACTATATCCGCTATCCCCGGACCCTGCATTCACTATATCTGGTCTCCCCGGACCCTGCATTCACTATATCCGCTCTCCCCGGACCCTGCATTCACTATATCTGGTCTCCCCGGACCCTGCATTCACTATATCCGGTCTCCCCGGACCCTGCATTCACTATATCCGCTCTCCCCAGACCCTGCATTCACTATATCCGCTCTCCCCAGACCCTGCATTCACTATATCCGCTCTCCCCGGACCCTGCGTTCAATATAGCCGCTCTCCCCGGACCCTGCATTCACTATATCCGCTCTCCCCGGACCCTGCGTTCAATATAGCCGCTCTCCCCGGACCCTGCATTCACTATATCCGCTCTCCCGGACCCTGCATTCACTATATCCGCTCTCCCAGGACCCTGCATTCACTATATCCGGTCTCCCCGGACCCTGCATTCACTATATCGGTCTCCCCGGACCCTGCATTCACTATATCCGGTCTCCCCGGGCCCTGCATTCACTATATCCGGTCTCCCCGGACCCTGCATTCACTATATCCGGTCTCCCCGGACCCTGCATTCACTATATCTGGTCTCCCCGGACCCTGCATTCACTATATCTGGTCTCCCCGGACCCTGCATTCACTATATCCAGTCTCCCCGGACCCTGCATTCACTATATCTTTCTCATCAGCAGTATAGAGCAGTCTTTTAACTTCTATCAGTGTTCAGCAGAGCACTGGTTAAAGCTTGTAGGAGGAGTTTAATTTTGCTCTAGGAGGATGCAGCATCCCTGACCCTCTGTCTGGACAGTGCTGATTGGCACATGCACTCTCCTAAAGAAAAGAAAAAAAACCTCTCTAGCATTACACACCACGCTGAACATGTGCAGAGTAACTCTACACAATATGTCTTATCAGGAGATAAGAGGGGGACACTGGAAGAAGGGGAGGATCAAAGAATAGAGGATCAAACAGTCTTTTTACACAATGATTAACTCTTAAGGTTCCACAGTGAGTATAACAAGCATGCTTTACTGCATCTACAGACTGATTGTACTGTTGGGGGTTTAGTAACACTTTAACCACAAGAACAGGTCCGGCATACTTGAAAGGAGCTTCGGTAGCCATTTGCACCTTGAAAATGGCGACGCACCCCTCTAAAATGACATAAACCTCTCGGTGTCGCTCCTCCCTAGTCCCGCAGCCCCAATAAAAACTTTATCTCCACATTAAAATACTTAATATTCTGCCAGGTCCGTTTTTCCCAGCTCCGATCCAGACATGCGGGACCTTTCATAATGCCCTGTTGCTTATGATAGAGGTCAGGAAAAGATTTGACATCCAACACTGACCTTTTCAATCTCCTTTCTCAAAACCGCAGACGAAGAAGGCGGAGGGGCGAAAACACAAAGGAAAGAATCTCCGGGGGTACGGGAGAGGGGGGGGGATAGGCTTCACACATGCAAAGTGCTTGGGTTGTATTTATCAAATAAAAAGATTTATGCCTGGAAAGAACTCCGAATAAACGTCTTTCAGGAGGGGGGAGGGGGGGGGGGGGGGGATTATTCAAATGTCAAACTGTGATGCGTCGATGAAGTTTCAAACGAAACAATTATTGAGAGATCTGTAAGAACTCCGCTAAGAATATCATTATCATTTCCAGAAATCCGCCACCCCTTTCTGCAAAAATGTGTCCTGTTTATGGCTCTGATGTCCAATTCTGAAGGAACGATTGGTCAGTAATTCCTAGAAAACAACAATGCTAGCAGAATATTAGCGTGCATAAAACAGGGGATTAAAGCCGGCCATACACGGGTCGAATTCCGAATTTTCTTCAGAAAATCTTTAATCTTTATAATTTTTTCTTTAGAAAATCCTTAAGAATTTTTTTCCAATCCAGAAGGGAACGATCGGTCAATAATTCCTAGAAAATAACAATGCTAGCAGAATATTAGCATGCATAAAAGAGGGGATTAAAGCCGGCCACACATGGGTCGAATTCCAAATTTTCTTTAGAAAATCTTTAAGAATTTCCTTAAAAAAATCTTTAATCTTTAGAATTTGTTCTTTAGAAAATCTTTAGAAAATCCTTAAGAATTTTTGTCCAATCCAGAAGGGAACGATCGGTCAATAATTCCTAGAAAATAACAATGCTAGCAGAATATTAGCGTGCATAAAAAGGATTAAAGCCGGCCATACACAGGTCGAATTCCAAAAGAATTTTCTTTCAAAAATCTTTAAGAATTTTCGTCCAATTCAGAAGGGACCGATCAGTCAATAATTCCTAGAAAATAACAATGCTAGCAGAATATTAGCATGCATAAAGAGGGGGGTTAAAGCCGACCACACGTGTCGAATTCCAAAAGAAATTTTCTTTAGAAAATCTTTAAGAATTTTTGTCCAATTCAGAAGCGAACGACTGGTCAATAATTCCTCGAAAATAACAATGCTAGCAGAATATTAGCGTGCATAAAAGGGGGATTAAAGCCTTCCATACACGGGTCAAATTCCGAAAGAATTTTCGTTCAAATTTCGCACCATTGGTGGGTCATAGAAACGGGCGATTTTCATATGACCATCGAATTTGAGTGATCGGGCATGTTGTAATTTTTTTGAAAAACGAACAAATTTTGAAACAATGATGGGAGAATATAAACTAAAAAGAAATGAGCTGTGACCTGGAAAGAAAAGAAAATTGTTGGCCACAAAAATTCTTTTCTATAGCAACATGAGGTGAAATTGAAGGCTTGGTTGG